ATTTTTATTTTTCAAAATTCAGTAAAACCCCTACGTTAATCTGTAGTCCTTGATGAACTGAAACAAACAAGCTATTGGCCAGTTTTTTATCGCCACTTTCTGCGGAGGAATCCTGCGTGTTAACTTTAAAAGAAGATATCCTATGAAAATAAAAGTACTGTACAATCTTAGGACCTTATCAAAGATAAGTTCATTTCAATCTGATATTGTTAATGTGTTAAGCCATCCCTTGTGTTAAGAAATATACCCTCAGGTTCTATCCCTACAGTGGCTCAGAAACTAATTTTATTGACAAATGTCCCAAAAATGCATTTTGGGAGGAAAAAGCCCCCTTCATAGGCAACTATTACCAACTATTACGTCTCTATTACCTATCTATTACCTTTCTATTACGTCTATTACCTGACTATTACCAAACTATTACCGGACGGGCGACCCGACTATTACCTGAGTGGAAACCCCCTCGTTGTTGACAATACTGGACTTGGCCATCGTGAACGCTACCCATTTAGCTTTTGTACAAGCAGTGATACTGGAAGTATCACCTGCTAAAAATAAATAAGGGGCGTAAAACAAAGAAATTTTGCAAAGAAAATGTCACTTATGGAATCAGCACCACTAAAAACCACTGCAAACCAAATTTCAGCTCGATCCAACCTAGCAAAGACTTTTGTCGTGGTTTGGAGGTCAAATCTCCCACTGTGCGGCGGTTCTACAGCACGCGGCGCTGGTCCATCCCCAAGGACGCGTCGTGGGCCCCCTACGAGGATTATCTGGAGCAGCATGGTGCGCGGGTGTGGCGCCAGCCGCTGGGGCTCCATCAGTATCAGGCCTTTGTGGCGCCGCTTTCTGACGCTGAGGACGCGACGTTCCGGCGGCGGCACGCTCGCATGAGTGCGCCGCGACATGTTCCGCAGGCTTGGTGGACCCAGGCCTGCACTGGTGCAGTGCAGCGGCGGGTTGAAGCTCGGCGCGCTTTTCGTCGGGGCCGCACACCGGCGTCGTATGAGGGAGGACCTTGTTCGGGTGTCTGCGGACGCCGATCGTATCATTCAGCATGCTAAGCGGGACAGCTGGAAGGGACTTTGTCTCTGGCCTTTTCCCCGCCAAGGACAGTATGAACGTCTTGTGGCGTATGGCTCGAAGCTACAGCAACCAGCCCAGCCCAACCCCTCCAGGGGCGAATGGCTAGAGGATTTCTTGGCTAAGTACTCGCCGGAAGGCATGGAACCCCCTCCCGGAGCGATTCTGCCCGCAGGGCCCCACGCGGGCCGAATATGAATTTGAACCCCCCCCCCCCCTTTCACAGTTACGGCGGTGCTGAACACGGCCCCAGTGATGGACGAGGTGACAGCTGAAGTGCTCCGGCACCTCTCTCCAGACGCCCTCGCCTGCCTGACGGCCCTCTACTACTTCTGGTGGCGCCGCATTTTGGTGGTGCCCATTAATTGGCCGGGGGAGGACCCTGACTCTGCGTCCTCGTACCGGCCGATCGCTCTGGCCTCGGTCTTGGATAAAGTCTTTGAGAGCATGATTCAGCCGCGCCTGGAATGGTGGGCCGATTCGCGGGGGTTGTTGAACCCTGCTCAGAGCGGCTTCCGGAAGGGCATGGGCACGGCCGACTCGGTCGGCTCCTTCCTGACCTCCGTGTATGACGCACGGGTGGAGGGGCGCATTGTGGCAGCCTTCTTCGCTGACGTGGAGGGCGCCTATAACTCTGTTCGCCCGGGACTGGTGGTGCAAGGACTATTTGTTCTACTATATTCTCTCCTTAACTCGTCTTGGGTGTCAGCGCCGCAGGCCTAGCTATGTGTGCGCCAGGCGCGTCGCAGCGTAACAGTGTTTCGTGAGATATCGCAAAGCCTGTTACGCGATACGTTTTCCTCTAGCTCAAACCGTTGAGGCGCTAAAGGGTATTTTTGACGAAAATAAGCGAAAATTGTACAACCCTGTATGCTTAGCCGAGGTGACGGGCCGTTGACGGGCCGTAGGCCCGTATCATTGTGTACATTTTTCGACCACCCGACTCGGGTGTCAGCGCCGCAGGCCAAGGTAGATGTATGCAAGGCGCGTCGCAGCGTAACAGTGTTTCGTGAGATATCGCGAAGCCTGTTAAGCAAGACGTGGTCTGGCGTACATCTACCTTGTCTAAAAGGGCGATGGCCCAGTATTGTTGACAAAACTGGGTCTTGGCCTTGGCTCAGTGTTGCTGACAATACTGGGCCTCACTGACCATTGTCAACGCCACCCATCAGACCCCCCTCCTTGGCCATCGTGAACGCTACCCATTTAGCTGTTGTACAAGCAGTGATAATGGGAGTATCATCTGCTAAAAGGACTCTTCCTTAGCCAAAACGCTTTTACCAAGAATGACAGAAAAGGCAAAATCTGCTCAGTACAGCAAGAAAGGGCGTGGGCGAGGTGAGAAAGTTTCACCTTTGTGTCACTACCCCGCTTTTATTGCGTCGGTAGTTCTTGACCCTCGCTTTTTCTTACTGCTGAACACAGCAGATTGCTGAAGCAAAACCTTGACGGCGCCATCTTGAGGTCAGATAAGTGGAACATGCTGATGAAGAAGGTCTGCGGGCGGCTCGTCATAGGCCAGTCTATGAGAGCTGGCAACCTGGTCGGCATAAAGGTCAATGATTTTCTGGACATCTCGGTAGAAAAGGCGAATGGTAGTATTGAGGTGACAATACCAATAAAGGAACACAAGGTGAGCAGGTATAGGAAGGCCTTCCTTAGTGTTTCATTAGTGGATTTTCAGACCATCGTTTTGCCCATTGTCAACGCGGCACAGAAGCGGGAAAGTGATAATCCCCATGTCTTATGAAATTTCCGACATCATTTTCGAATAAGGTCTGGGCCGAAGTCAAAGTCAAACCACTTGAATTCATGAGCAAATTGGGTGCCACCGCGACACAGGGGGTAACCGAAGCCTCCTCCATCGACAAGGGTTCAACTGCAGCAGATAATGAGGCACCGCCACCTGGTGGAATGGGCGCAGGCGAAGATGGTGACGATACAGTGGCATCGTCACCGTCAGTTGTTCGGGACACACCATCACCCTGGCGTGCAAAATAGCTGGTAATGGTTTTCAACCGCTTGCGGTTCATCATGCTCATGGTGACCAGGTGTTAGGCCCTAAGCCTAAGCCCTGCACCCTGGACTACCGCCCTAGTCCAACCCAACCCCAACCCACCAATGAAGGCAAAGACGGAAGACAGAAAACAACAACTACGAGGCTATAAAAAATCCAAGCCTTGACAACTTTTGCGAACAGCGCCAGCCCTGCCTACGTCTCAAAACTCAAGCTCAGCCCCATCCGGTCAATAATAAAAACGGTAACTCTAGCTCCAAGCTCCAAACGCTTGCGCTTGCTTGCCGCTAACTTGTGCCTCTGTCCGCTGTCCGGTCCTGTCTTAATCGCGGGGCTCGAGGCGGAGAGGGGCGACGAGTGTAGTGTAGCGTAGCGAGCGAGTGTAAGCGGGCGAGCGAGGAGCGAGGCAAGCGACGCACGGCACGGCATCGGCGTGGAGGCTGGTGCTGTGGTGACTCGGCTTGGCTTGTGCGGGGCGGGGGTAAGGCGGGACGGGGCAGGGCAGGGTGCGCGCTGCGTTGCTGTGCCACGTGCTGCGCTGGCCGGTGGCCGGGGCCGTGGGCCGGGGCCCGGCCACTCGAGCTAAGCTCCACAGCGCACGCAACGCGCACCCTACCCCACCGCTGAACGCGCGAAGCCTGTTACGCGGGATAGCGTTCGAGGTAAGCTCCCTGCCCCCTGGCCCCCTGCTAGACACGTTGGCGTTGCAGGGAAACGCTAATACGGGAAATAGGAAATATCGCGAAGCCTGTTATGCGAGACGTGAACTGATGTATTGTATGCGTGCATCACTATGAGACTCCAGGGCACGGCTACTAGACCGAAGGAGAAGAACAATAATCGTCGGTACGGGGCGGGACTGGGGCTGGGCAGCGCCCGACGAGTTTTGTTCTTCTCCTTCTCCTTCCGGTCTAGCCGAGGGCCGAGCCCTATGGTGGAGTACCTAATAGATAGTATTTCTACATGCTTACAGTACAACTATCTTATTCTTTCTGTTATCTCTTTTTTCTTTTCTCTTTCTTTTCCTTTCCTCTTTCTCTCCCTCTCTCCTCTCTTTCCTTCTCCTTCCTCTTTCCCCTCCTCTTTTTCTCCTCTCCTCTCCCCTTTTCCTTTTCTCTCCTCCTCTCCTCCTCCTCGCC